TTAGTAGAGACGGGGTTTCACCATGTTGACCAGGATGGTCTTGATCTCTTGACCTCGTGATCCACCCGCCTCGGCCTCCCAAAGTGCTGGGATTACAGGCTTGAGCCACCGCGCCCGGCCATAACTAATTTCTAAATATTTGCCTTTATATGAGGTGCTAACCATATTCTACAAAATATAATTTTTAAGTTTAGCAATGTAAGGCTATTGTTTTGCTTCTAAAGTTGGATGACAGCAGTTTATATTGTGTAAGAATAGCATATATTTAAAACATTTAAAAATTACTAGTTTCTTATAAACTTTTACTATAAATTTCGTTAGAATTTTTTATTTATAATTATACTTTTTTCTGAAATTTTATTGCAATACAGTGCATGCCAATGATTTGAAATACCTGCTTTCTGTGAGTACACAGTCACAGTCAAATATGTAATTATTTAGACAAATTCTTTTTTAATGGTACATTAATATGGCAAACCAGATTTTGTGAGTAAACATTTCTCTAGTTACTGTTTTGCAGTTTCATATTAGTGCTTTATTTAGTGTAGGTTTTTAAACATCAGTTTATTTTGACTTGTTGTTTTACTTACATATTATAATTTTAGACATTTTATAATTCTGTACACTTTAAGTCAACATGGGGTTTAATTAAAAGATTAATCAGCCGTGTGTCTATCACAATCATGTTATATATGTATGTGTGCTTTTATCTACAAATATGACCCCAATTTTGGTTATGCCTTATTTTGTATATATTCTTTCTTAGCTGATTTTCAGTGATTGTCTTATATCTAAGTGAGTAGTCATGGAAATCGTCTTTTCACCATGTCTTTAATAATGAATATATATTTTCTTTGCATGAGAGAAGCACTTTTGTGATTTGAAGATAATTTTTGAAAAGATATGTAATTCTGCATTTTTTTAGTTTTTCTTTTAAAAAAGTTGTGAAAACATAACATAAAATTTACCATCTTAAATTCATGGAAGTGGACATTTTAGGACCAGGCATGGTGATGGTTGACATCTGTAGTCCAAGGATTTTGAGAGGCCAAGACAGGAAGATTACTTGAGCTCAAAATTTGGAGACCAGCTTGGGCAACATATGAAGACCCAATCTCTAAAAATAAATAAATAAATACATAGATACATACATAAAATTTTTAAGCCAGGCATGGTAGTGTGCACTTGTGGTCCCAGCTACTTGGGTGATTGATGGGGGAGGATTATTTGAGCCTAGTTGTTTGAGCCTGCAGTGAGCCATAATTTTGCCACTGTACTCCAGCTTGGGTGACACAGTGATATCCTGTCTTAATAAAAGTTGTGCATTTCAGGCATGTTAAGTACATTCACACTGTTAACGCAAAATACTTCTAAAAGGTTTACATCTTGTAAAACTAAAACCTCATACCCATTAAGTAATAACTGCACCTTTTACCCTCTCTTCAGCCCTTGAGAAATACCCTTCCACTTTCTGTTTTTATGAGTGTGACTACTTAAGATATCTCAAATAAGTGGAATCGTACAGTATCCATCATTTTGTTACTGGCTTATCTTAGGTAACATAATACTCTAAACATTTATCTTAAAATGTGACAATATTTTCTTTTTTAAGGCTTAATATTTTATTGTATGTATATGTTACCTTTTAATGATATATTTATAAATCAAGGAACACCTGGATTGCTTCAGCATTTTGGTTTTTGTGAATACTGGTACAATAAACATAAATGTTCAAATATGTTTCCAGGTCCTGCATTGTATAGTTTGGACATAGATCCATAAGTGGGATTGCTGTATTTAATAATAATTCAATTTTTAGGTATTCGAGGGAACATTATAACATTTGTAAATAATGGTTGCATTCTTATTTTGCACCAACAATTAACATGGGTTTTATTTTCATTGCATCATCAATCGATTTGGTGTTTTCTAGAAAACTGATAGTGGCTGTAATAATGGGTGTGAGAGGACTCTGTTTGCATTGTGATTTTCATGCATTTGTCTACAAATTTGTATTTTTGTGCATCCTTTCAAATGCTTTTTTGCATTTATATCATTTTGACAAAAATTCTAAGTTAAGTTATACAACTTTATAATTCAGTTTTAATAGTTGTTTAACTCCTATCACATGTAATTTGCAGATATTTTCACCAATTTCCTAGGAGGCATCATCACTCTTTTGAATGTTTTGTTCGATGTGCAGAAATGTTGAAGTATAGTGTAGTTCAGTTATTCTGTTCTTCTCTTTGTTGCTC